TAGCATATTGAGTCATACAAAATTAAGTATTTTTTAAAAAATTATTTTATGTTTTTGAGTGACCTTGAAACTTTTCATTCCATCTAACCTTTTCTCCTTAGAAAGATGAGAACTAGATTTTGGGATTATGACAATCAACCATAATGTAAGTAGTTCGGACTAGATGGGTGTTGGCATCCCTTTAGGTTTTGATTACTTTGTTACTTCAGGTATTTCATTGTATTTCTTGAGAATATAGTTTGACCAACACGCTGGGACAGAGCCAGAAAAGTGTGAGGAAATTGAATTTTATTCCACATTTGAAGACATGAATTCTAATCTCTTTCCTGATCTCTGGTGATAAGACTTTGGGCAAATCATTCATCTTTACACATTTCTCTTTTTACATCCTGGAATGATGGTATCTGCCAACTGCCTTACCAGGCATCTTTACATGTTATGTATAAAACTGCCAAGAGCAGGGTGTGGTGGTGCACACCTGTGGTCCCAGCACTCTGGGAGTATGAGGCAGGAGGATCTCAAGTTCAAGCCCAGACTCGGGAATTTAGCAATGAGACCTTACTTCACAATAAAATATAAGAAAAGGGCTGGGGATGTAGCTCAGTGAGTTCATTTTCTAGTACTGCAACAACCACCCACCCACCCAACCAACCAAACAAGCATCCAGTTTAAAAGAAGATGATTTGAAAATTTGCTGATTTCTGATTCTTATGAATAATTATTCCTTGTGAAGAATTTTTTGTAAAGGGGATATCTTGACTTTATTACTTGTAATTTTCTCTACATGTCTGTTCTAGTAGCAATTATAGTAAATCCACACCCTCCCGCTGTCCTTTCTTCCTAATGTAGGGGTAAAAAATCTATCCATTAGTTTTTCCATTGTTTCGCTCATTTATATGGAAAGGCAAGCGTCAGTTGAGTACGGTAAATGACATAATTTGAGCTTGACTGGGTTATATTTCAGCAATGTAGCACTTTGATTTGCATATATCATCTCAATGTTTCCAAGGTGTCTATCACCGATGTCAAGGTGTGCAAAATTGCATAACACTAATGATGCTTCTTTATGCTTTCTTGGCTTGTGTTGGAGTGAAGGAGTCTGTTGTTTTCTTATATGGAAGGTTTGCAAATTCCAATTGTGCTTTTCTAAGTTTTAAGACAGTGCTTGCTTTCTTTTATTCTTGCTTTTCTATTATTTTACATTTCTGGAAGTATATAAGAAAAAAATACAGACTAGAGTATGAAGGGACAAATGCCCATGCAATGCCTGGTTTTGTCCTAGTAGCATGTATTATTTTAATTAATCTTCCCAGAGATATGTGAGTAAACAGAGCCTCCTGAATAATTAGGCTTAGAGAAATGGAGTGATTCCTACATGTTTACATGACCAGAAAGTACCAGTAACTGATTATCCTCAGGGTGTTTGCTAGCCAAAGGACTGTAGGTTGTGAGTTAAGAAAAAAGAATTTGTTTTACATGTGTAGTATATGGTAAATTTCTCTGCTAATGGCTCAAACACGTTATGTTTTGTGTACTACATTCCCAATCCTTTTTCTTTTTTTCTTTTGAAACAAAGTTTCACAAGTTGCTAAGTTGCCTAGGCAGGGCTTGACTTATGATCCTCCTGCCTCAGCCTCCTTTAGAGCTGGAATTATAGGCATCCATCACTATACCCAGCTTGTTCTTAGCTTTTATAAATACCATGTGTTGTGGACTTGATAAGACATCAGCAATAACAGCAATATCACCACTGTCAACCGCAATAGGAAAGCAGATAGCGGACCTTCCTAGAGCATAAATTATGTGCCAGAGTCCGTCTTTGTATGTATTAACTTGCTTAATGGTCAGCATAACTCCGTGAGGGGTTTGTACAGATGATGAAGTTGGGGCAAAGGCTAAGAGTTAAGTAATTTGCTTAAGTCAAACAACCAATTAGCAGCAGAGCTGGAGCGTAAGCCCACTCTATTGTGCATATTACCATTCTTCCTCAGGACATACTTGTTTTACTGGAGGGAAGAGTTGAAAATGAATGAAACCAATTCTGACTTAAGTTGAGCTGAAAAAGAATGTATTAGGAGGATCTAGAGTGGCTCTTGCAATAAGAATCCAGAGAAGCAGATCTGGAAAACAGTCAGGAGCAGGGAAAACCTGGGAGCAGAAAATGTGGTCAAAGTGTGGCATAGGAAGTTTGGTCACAGTAGCAATGCTATGTACGGTAATCACAGGTGCTGTGCTGATGGCGAGGGCCACTGGACCCTGGGATCTGCTGCCATCATTGTTGCTGCAACAGCAAACTCCGAGAATGTTTTCATCTTTGTAGCACTCCCTAAGATTCAAAGGTGCCCATGGAAGCAGTCGCTTCAGGAAGCCTGGGTCATCTTTATGCAAGACCAGTTTTTGTATACTTTTTGGATTTATTGTTCTGATACATTCTGGGCAGGACAGTTAGAGAAAGGAGCTTTGGTTCAGCTTTCCAAATGTTGAACCTTCAGCATTCAAGATATTTCTCAGGAAGTCTTGATCCTGTTGTGTGGCGAGATAGGTCAGGAAAATGATTTGAGAAATTGACAGCTAACAGAATGAGAGAGCACTGGTTGCATATTTGTTAAATCGAGTTAAACTCTAAGTGACCACTTTTGGTTCATTCTAGTTTGATCATGGATTAAAGAGCATAACTTCCAAGGGCTGATAAATGTCTGTGTGATAAAATACATCTAGTTTTCCTAGTTAAATTTAACTGTAGTTAAAGAAATTCACTGGGTAACAAAATGTAGTAATCTTCAGCAAAAGGATGGTGGTTTTGTTCATCAGTATGGTCGCGATCAATGTTTTAAGAATGTGTTATATAGGCCAAAGTTCACTTTGACAAATGCTGTAATAAAATATTTTCTAACTTTATCTGATGGTTCAGATTTTAAGTATAATCCGCACAACAGAATTTCTGCCCAGTATGAGGAGTTAGATCAGGACATGAAATAAAACATGACTTTTATCACTCATCACTTAATGGAAACTCATTTGACTGGAAATCTGAACTTAATACTAATTTTCACTTAATACTAACTTTATTAGACTTTTTTTAGCACTTACAATATATTAGGCAATATGCAAAGTACTTATTCCTTGTAATAACCCTGTAAGATAAATATTGTGCTACTTTAAGGGTGGAAATGAGGCTGAGAGAAATAACTTGCCTAAGGTCCCACAGAAGTGGTGTGGCCAGGTTTTCAAAGCATGTTTGTCTGTCTCTAAGCTTCCTTTTCCAGCAGCACTTTATGGTGGAAGAAAGTCATTATATTATAAGTTGATGCTGGGTTAGCATTCTTGAATTTTTAGACGATATTTCCTTTTACTTGTTCTTAGAAAACAATTTTCTCTTTTTAGATTAACTCAAGAAATGTCATTCCATCCCAGACTCACTTTCTGAGTTAAAAGACTGGAAGTTTTATTAGCTGCATAGGCTGTTACTGTTTGCAACATTCTTACACAGGAAGGGACATTAGATGTGTAGGTCAGACGATGTTCCCACCAGCTGTGGAACAGGCAGGGTAAGGTAGTTGCTGTGGCATCCCACATGCTCTCTGGTACACAACACTATCTATGTCTAAGGATTCATAAAAATATACAGTCCTTTCTTGAGATACCTCATGTGGGCACCATCTCCTGGCAGTAAGAAACCTCACACTTCCCAAGCTTCTTGTATAGAATATTTGCTTTTACTGTATTGTTTTCACTTTCGAGCTTCCAGTTAAGTTCAGCTTTTCTAGGATTGGGAAGGCAGTTTGATTTGTGGTGCTGTAACTTTTTGGTTTTGACTGAGTTTGCTGACTTGAGGCTAATTTTTAGCCATTTATGTGTACTTTAGTAAATCTACAAATTAGGGAATTCTTACCTTAGCTTTGAGAATGCTAACCCTAACCCTGTCATGGATATTACTCTTTTGCTTGGTTTAGTCCATGTGCCACTGGGGGAGTAGCTCACCAGGAGAGCACATAGCTAGTAGCATGTGCTAGACCCTGGGTTTGATCACTAGTGCTGCAAAACCAAAACCAAAACCAAAACCAGCTACTTCCTGTGAGACACACACATGCACAAAAGGCAGAAACAGCCCCATATTGGTCTGGATAGTATGATAGTAGCCTGAGTTTGGGAAATGAGAGTGAAGGATAAAAGCAAAAATTTGTTGTCTTTGACAAAAGACAAATAATTTTTCAAAAATTTAATACTCATAATTATTCACTTAAATTCTACTAATTTGAATATGAACTGTTTCCCCCTTCAGTTTTATTTTGTTTTGTACCCTGTTGTTGATTTGTGTGTGTGTTTCATCGAACCACTTTTTGGGTCCTGTATGGAGCTCCAGAAAGCCAGGTGTGGTATGAGGTCAGGATAGACAGAGTGAAGGCTGCATCACTGACTGCCTCCACAGATAGCTTAGTGCACATGTAGCCAGTATTACCTGACCAGGCTCAAGCTGGCTTTAAACAGATAGACAAATATGGTGGTAGTTGGTGCTTTTATTGTCATTAGCAGAGCCCTCAGGAAACATCTGCCTTACATTCTAAGGAGAGAACATATTACGTATGAATGGAAGAATTAATAGGAACCTGAAGAATTGTTTTTCCTTTAGTCTGCAAAGTGGTAATACCACTGAACGTATGGTAGATAAGTTGGTTTTTCTCCAATGCACCATTATATGGAAGAAGTAGGAATTATTTATAATTTGCATGTCATTATGGTGATGCTTAAAGAGCCCCACGACTCTGGACCATGGGCCAGGGCTTACAAATGGTTTCATGGTGACAAACTAAGCATTTTTTGTCACAGGATGTGAACTGCAACAGAATGCTGAAGGCGATATTAAATTAGGGTGATTTTTAGAAAGTGACAAATGTTTTAGGATTTCTAAGTATGAAATGGGTTCTACCAGCTCCAAATGGCTGCCAAGTTGTGTTATCACTCGCCTGCTTTGTAACTGCCTCAATTATTTCCTTCCTCAGCCCTGTATGATGAGATTCGGCAGTTTCGCCAGGCCTGTGGGGAGGCTCATCTCAAAACCATCTTAGCCACAGGAGAACTCGGATCTCTTACGAATGTTTATAAAGCCAGTATGATAGCAATGATGGCGGGTAAGTGGTTCATGTTCAAATAGCGTTTTGTACTAGATTGATGTTTTTAGGAGAAAGAAGTAAGTAAAAAATTTGACTATTATTAAAAGTGCTAACCACTTGGGATTTTTTGGAGGGAACGGTGAAGCATTTCATGAATACGTGTTCAATATGAAGCGGTCAGAAAACTCTTGGCTTTGTTCCAGTGTCTTGGTGGCATTTCATTGTTGCACTATCCTTCGAAGGCAGTAGATGGCTCTCTTGTTAGTGAATTGCCCTTTATGCTATTTGATTTCATCAACATATGTTAGACAAGAATTAATTTAACTCTGACTTTTCTGTCTATGTATTTAAGCTTTGGCTTTTCTTCCCCTCGGTATATATACAATTTGAGCCAGCCCCTGCTTTTTGTGTTAATTTCTTTAAAATTCAGTATGGTATTGTTTTTCATATTTTCAAATATAGGATTGATTTGTTCTTTATCTCTATGAACAACAGATATATCCATTCAGATCTACAAGCTTGAAACCTAGGAATCATGCTTGATTCTTTCTTTTCTCTGCATTCAATTAAACAGTGGACAAGTCTTATGATTGTCTCTTTGCTATGTCCAACGCACCTCTCTGTTCTGTTCTGAGTTCTGCTACCTTAGACCACCAGCCAGCTCTGCATGGATTACTTCAACTCATTTCTTAGCCCCTATTTTTGTCCCGCTTCTAGTCTGTTCTTCACACTGTTCAAAATGATCTTTTTAAAAAATGCTAATTTGATTATAGTACTGCTTCCTTCCAATCTTTTAGTTACTTCCATTTTCTTACAAGTAAAATATACATTCCTGAATTCTTATTTCCTAATACGCTGCCCACGCCCCTGCCATCTCACTTTCCCTTCATCTTATAGACTTCAGCCATATAACTCACCTGCTGTTTCTTGAAGATGGTGCCACCCAGATCCACAGCATGTGCTGTGCCCTGTAGTATGAACTGCCTAGAATTCCTTTTGCCCAAATTACTCCTGGATCTTTGGATTCAGCATAGGCGCCAACCTTTTCAGAAGTATCTCCCCCAGGCCACTGCCTTCCCCACCACTTCGCTGATTTTCTCCTCTGTATGTGCCCGTATCATTCGTTAAAACGTCTGTCAGATAACTTCTCACACTGGACCGTGATTGCTGCTGAAGTTTTACATGCCCTCCTAGAGGCCCCATATTTGGATGAAGATATGTGGCTTCTGTGGTCTTAAATCCAGGTCATGCATCACAGCCTTCCTTTCCATTTTATACTCTTGTGTACTCACTCTCTGGATGGTTTTTCAGTTGTTTCTGGAACTTTGCTGAAAATCACCCAACAAGGCATCAATGGTGCAGTTGCCCTGATCATGCTGCTGGATCTGGAAAATATTTTTTTTCATTTAGAGCAAAATTTCTGAAAACATAAGGATATGAAAGAGTGGAAGACTTTGAGCAGTGTTTCATCAATGATGTTGACATTTCAAAAGTCCAAAGTAAAAAATAAAAAGTCTACAGTAAAACATTTATTGTGTGGCTCGAGGTCTTGAATTCATGCAGCTTCCCTTTCAAGCTCTTTGCCAGGACAAGGGATTGTTAGAGTAGGTACCAAAGTAAGGGTTTGGAAGCAAATACCAGAAGCTACTTGTAGCACACACTGTGTTGTATTTTTAAAATTAATTAATTTATTTATATATTTATTTCTTGCAACGCTAGGGATTAAACCTAGAGGCTTGCACATGCTAGGCACTGAGCTATATTCCCAGTCATTTTAAAATTTTTATTTTTTTACTTATTTTGAAATTCCTTGTCCACTTTAATACTGGTTACATGAATCCATGCAACTAAGGGAAAATCATTTCTCAGTGGTTTCCATTTGACAAACATTTGCTTCTCCATTACACCAACTAAAGAGTAATACCCAAATAAAAGTAACACACTGTGGCAGCACAGGAAGGGAGCAAAATGGGAATTTTCTGTCCACTTTGCACAGAAGGCCGAACTGATGCAGCAGCCCTCCCTGTTCCCCCAGGAGTATGGGCCTTCTGTCCACCGTCACTATTCTTAGGGAAGACTCACATCAAATGGTATCTGTACAGAGTTTGCAAACACAAAGTGGTATCATGTCATTCTGAAATGTCATGGCCAAGGGTTAGCTTTTTATTCTTGGCAGTACTGAGGCTTGAGCCTAGGGCCTGTTCAATGAACTATACTCCTAAATTTTTATTTTGAACAAGGTCTTTCTGAGTTACGCAAACTGGGCCATGAACTTGCCATCCTCCTTCCTCAGCCTCCCAAGTAGCTGGGATGACAGGTGTGCACCATTGTGCCTGGCTATATACGCCTGATCATCAGCTGCATGGTTGGGGTGTGAAGGAGGCTCAGGTACTACTGGTCAGGGTCGCATCTGAGCCAGTCTTGAGGTGTCTGTTTATCCCAGCTATAATCCAAGCCCCAGGCTGCATCTTGAGTTCAAGGCCAGCCTGAGCTACATAGCAAGACCATGTCTCAAAAAACCAAAAATAATAACAATAATAGTAATAGCAATAATTACTATTTTGACTAAATTCACATTGCTTCTAGGTGGGTTTGGGTTTTTTTTTTTTCCATTGATATATTTTAAAAATCAGCTTCACTGAAGCAAGTTTGCATTCATCAGAGTACATTGATTCTGAGGTGCCGGCCAGTCCTCTCCTACCTACCTATTGCACTGCTCATGATAGGAACATGACATTAGGTCCTCAGGCTTTAGAAGCCTCTGTTCTCCCCTCCACCTCTTCTATCTGTAGGGAGAAAATGTGATCAGAAACATGCTCTTTCTCTGTCTCTTCCTTTCCATTTATTTCACTGTTTGTGTTTTATATCTGCTTCATTTCATCAGTGACTATCAAGCATGTACTGTGAGTAATGTAGCAGTTTGTGTCATGCTTTATTAGACCCTTTTAAATAATATTCCTTGATCTGCACAACAGCCCTGGAATTGATGAAGAACTTGAGAATAACTGGCTTACTAAGGTCCCAAAGCTAATATATCAGGTGTAGTCCTTATTTGAACCCAGGTTTTCTGGTTCCAGTTTATTGCTTTTTCATTTGTAAAACAGTTGTTTTCTAAGGCTATATGTGCTTGATCGTATCTGAATAAAAGACAGTCTTAAAAAAAAATACAGTCTTTATGAGTTGTACTGTATGAAAGCATCTAGTCGATTTCCTGGCCTATAGTGTCTCCTATTGAGATTATAATAGAATTTTCAGAAGTTTTGCTCATTTTGGGTGAAAGATTAGCTCAGTGGCACCACTCCTGTCTCACAAGTGCAAGGTCCTGAGTTGGGTCACTGGTACCGAGGAAAAAAAAATGTGAAAAAGTTTGCTCGTTTTTATTTTTAGCCATTTGAAGAACATTTTAAATTTTAAAAAATTTTGTTTTTATTTATATAACACCCCTCCAATAGTATTGACGAAAGCCAGGTGTGGTGTTATATTCCTGTAATCCCACTTGGTAGGCTGAGGCAAGAAGATTGCCAGGAGTTTGAGGCCAGTCTAGACTACATGGCCTTGAGTTCAAGGCCAGCCTGAGCTACATAGCAAGACCTTGTCTTAAAAAACCAAAAATAATAACAATAATAATAGTAATAACAGTAATTATTATTTTGGCTAAATTCACATTTTGCTTCCAGCTGGGCTTTTTTTCTTCATTGATATATTTTAAAAATCAGCTTCATTAAGGCAAGTTTGCATTCATCAAAATTCAGGTGTCATGAATGCAGCATGAGTTTTTACAGTTTATGTATACCTGTAACCACTGCTGCAATCAAGAAGGAGAACATTTCCATCTCCAGAAATATTCAGTGTGCCCCTTTATAGTCCATTCTGCTCTTCTCTCCTGTTGCCCAGGTTATAAACACTGACCTGATTTTATCACCATATACCATACGGCAGCCATACCAAGTTTTGAACATACTGTCACACAGTAGGTACTACTTTATGCTTGTTGATTTTCCCCTTGATAAAGAGAATAGCTAGGGAATATTAAGAGTATTAATATTCTAATGATTATTCTAATGATTAATATTCTAATATTATTTAGAAATAGTCCACTGTACAAATATACTGAGTTGCTAAAATTATTGGTAGAAAGTTGTTTGTAATATTCTCTTCTTAGTCTGATATCTGTAGGATCTGTAGTTATATCTCATTCTTCATTCCCGATGTTATTTTTTTCTTTCCTGTTGTCTTTATTCTCCTTTTCCACGATCTCCTCTTCCTTATCCCTCATGTCCTCCTAGAGTATTTGCTTTCTTGCTTTTCCTTTGTTAGTTAAGGTGTTTTCTGATCTCCTTTGTGAGCTAATGCCATGTTCCTGGCCTATTGTTTATCCTATTGAGATACATAATAGAATTTTTTAAATTTTTGCTTGTTTTTATTTGTATTTATTTTAGAATGCTTTTTAAATTGTTATTTAAATTGAGATGTTTGATTTCCAAACTTTAGTGCTTTTATATATGTTTTAGTGTTAACTTATAATTTAAAGTTCTGTTATTTTCAGATTATTAGATTTTTTTGAGATTGCATTATTTTATAACATGATTTCTTTAGGCATATGCTTTAAGTTCACTTAATAAATATGTATTGGTAGACGTTAATGCAAATGTCAGTGTCAGGCTAAGCTTTTTCAGCTCTTGTTTTAGTATTAAAATCTCCAAATGTAAGTATAGATTTTTCTCCATATCTATAGCCCTTTAGAGCATTGGTTGTTTTCTTCACGTATGGTGAAGCTCTCTTACAGGTGTATATACACTTTCAGGGTTGTGGTGTTTACCTCTTGAATCAGAAAACTCACCATGAAAGTCCCTCATTGTAGCTGGTTCTAGTCCTTTTCTGAACATCCCCTTGGTCTAATGTTAATCCAGCCACACCAGCTTTCTTGTGCTGCTTATTTGCGTGATGCCTCTTTTCCAAGTCTTTTATTTTTAACCCATTGGTGGCTGTATATTTAAAGTGTGTCTAACAATATGGGT